AGGCGGGAGGAGTGGAGTTCAAGGTCATCCTTGGCTACATAGTGACCTTTAGGACAGTGTAGGCTACATATCAAGTTTCAGATCAGACCCTTTCTCAACAAAACAGAGACTGAGAGGAAAAGAGAGGGAACAAGTGAGCCGTGGATGTAATTTAAAGTTCCCTAGAAGCCCTAACAAAAAAGTAAATAGGCAATTGTAGTGAAATACATACAATATAAAAATTTCCAGCTGGGTGGTGGTGGTGGTGCACACCTTTAATCCCAGCACTCAGGAGGCAGAGACAGGTGGATCTCTGTGAGCTCAAGGCCAGTCTGGTCTGCAGAGTGAGTTCCAGGTTAAGCTTCAAAACTACAGAGAAACCCTGCCTCAAAAAATAAAATAAATCCATACCAGGAACGGTGGTACTACGTGGGTACGGGGAACCAAACAAGGGTCTTTTGGAAAAGCAGTCAGTGCTCTTAATCGCTGAGCTCTGTCAGCTCCATCTCTCACTAATGCATAAGCCTGTGCAAGATCCCCGTCCTCACAGCTTTGGTGTCCTCTAGGATGTGAGAGTGATAGAGTACTAGGGACTGAGGCCGGGCCATCAGAGGAACATGTTCCAACCACATGGTGACTTCTTGTGGCTTGTGTTCGCATGAGGATGATTCCTGCAGAAAGAACTCAGGTTTTGTTTTTTGTTTTTTATTTTATTTTATTTATTTTATTTTTATTTTTTTTTCGAGACAGGGTTTCTCTGTATAGCTTTGCGCCTTTCCTGGAACTCACTTGGTCATCCAGGCTGGCCTCGAACTCACAGAGATCCACCTGGCTCTGCCTCCCGAGTGCTGGGATTAAAGGCATGCGCCACCACCGCCCGGCTTGTTTTGTTTTTAAAGGTTATTTTATTTTATGTGTATGTTTTGCCTACATATATGTATGTGTGCCATGTATGTGTCTGGTGCCTAAGGAGGTCAGAAGAAGGCTATAGGGTTTCCTAGAAATGGAGTTTGGATGGTTGTAAGTCACCATATGGTTGCTGGGGATTGAACCTGGGTCCTCTGGAAAAGCAGCAGTGTTCCTGATTGCTAAGCCATCTCTCCAACTCCTGAGAGTTTTGTTTTGAGGCTAGTGGCTGAAGAGCTGGCTCAGCAGTTAAGAGCGTGTACTGTTTTCACGGAGACCCGAGTTTGATTCCCAGCACCCATATCAAGCAGTTCACAACTGCCAATAACTCCAGCTTCAGGGGATCAAATGCCTTTGAGCACACATGCTTACACACACACACACACACACACACACCATTTTAAAAATAGTAAAAAGAAACCTTTTCAAACAAAACCCAGGAAGGTGTCACCGTTGGCTGTGATGGCTGGTGCCTGTAATCCCAGGACTTTAGAGGCAGAGAAGAGATCATCTGAGTTCCAGAACTGGAGAGCAAGCACAGAGGGTCCCCTGCTGACTCTGCCTCCTGTTTCTGGGAAAGCCTGGACGGAAGGAGGGTGTCGAACCCTGAGGTCCGCAGAGTCCCGGTGTGTTTGCTGTGCTCAGACCAGCAGAAATGCACCTTGCTTGCCTCCTCTCTCTCCCTGATTAGGTGTGTGGAGTTGCTCCTGAAGTTTGGAGCACACGTGGATGGTCGGTCTGAGGATGAAGAAGAGACCCCTCTGCACACAGCTGCCCGGCTGGGCCATGTGGAACTAGCAGACCTGCTTCTAAGATGGGGTGCGTGCCCTGACGCCCGCAATGCCGAAGGTTGGACACCACTGCTGGCTGCCTGTGATGTCCGCTGTCAATCCCCGACCGATGCCGCGGCCACCACCGGCCGCTGTTTCCAACTGTGCAGCTTGCTGCTGTCGGCTGGGGCGGATGCCGACGCTGCCGACCAGGACAAGCAGCGGCCCCTGCACCTGGCCTGCCGCCGTGGCCATTCGGCTGTCGTGGAGCTGCTCCTGTCCTGTGGTGTCAGCGCTAACGCCATGGACTATGGGGGGCACACACCTCTGCACTGTGCTCTGCAAGGCCCAGCTACAGCCCTGGCCCGCAGCCCCGAGCACACGGTGCGAGTTCTCCTCAACCACGGTGCCGTCCGAGTCTGGCCAGGGGCACTCCCCAAGGTACAGGGGGCATGGGGCTGAAGGCAGGGGAAGGTCATTGTGGTTTGGGGGCCGGGAGAGACATGTTTGCTTTTCAAAGTAACTGGGAGGCCTTGAGCAGACAGATTAGTTTCTTCTTTCATTCAACAAGTACGTGAGATCTAAGAACAAGGAACCAACAAGCGTGTGTGTGTGTGTGTGTGTGTGTGTGTGTGTGTGTGTGTACAGGTATGTGTGTGAGTACACACGTGTGTGCATACACTTGAGGAAGGAGGACTGAGGGCCGTGGGACTGTTATGAAAGATCAGGACAGAAGAGCCAGGACCGATGAGGGGAGCAGTGAGGACTTAGGGGGCCTTCCTCAGACCCTGGGACAGAGTCGGAAGAGATCTGACGCAGCAGCAGGATCCGCTGAGCAAGATGTGCCCTGGACCTGGGTGAGCCTTCCCGTGGACAGAGCTCGAATCCGCTGCTCCCCAAGGCTCAAGGGCAACGGAACACAGCCCTGCTTTCTGACGTTTAAGACAACCTCCCCCCGCCCCCCGCCCCCCGCCACCAGCCACCAGCTAGCTGTCCCCACCTCTGACAATGCTTTTCACTGTCACCTCTCAGTTGTGTCTTATGTCAGCGTCTCCGAAGTGGGTTCCACTTGAGATGCTGGGGTAGGATGTCCTGGGAAAGAACTTGGCTCATGCTACGCTGAGCTGCATTGTGACATGGAGGCTGCTGGGCCTGTGGCGGCGGCGGACAGTTGTTCTCAAAGGGATATGTCAAGACTAAATTGGCCTTCTGGGAGGGGTGCCGGCTACAGGCACGGCCCGCTAGCCCAGCCCTCCTCCCCTGAGTCATTCCGGTTGTCCCCGCCTCTCCCCTTTGCCCACAAACCTAGCAGCATCTGTCTGGATTCCTAAGCAAGACCAAATAATTAAACAGCCCGAGAGTTCGGCAGATTGGTCTCCCCTTTGGGAAAATACAAGAAAATCAACAATTAACACTAATTAATCTCCTATTAACACCAGATAATTAGGAGACGAGCAATTCCCTGTAATCTGACTGCGGTTCTGACAGCTAATGATTTCCCCGCCGGGCGGGGGCAGGAAGAGGACCTGGTACAGCAGCAGACAGACATTCCAAGACCCCCACCTCTGCCCCCACACCTGCCCCCGCCAGCCTCCTCTGGCCCTTAGCTGTCTCTGGGGGAAGGGGTGACTGGCAGAGTAAAGGACAGCGTGTGTCCCTTTCTCACAGTCCGCAGCCCCTCGGGCCTTGGCTGGAGTCCCAGCCCTCCCAGCAAGGCTGGCTCTGAGACTGTCTGTGTGCCCCGATGGCCTCAGCAGTTCTCGGAGAGACATGCACTGCGCTGGTTGCTGAAGACTGAATGCGGCTCTGACTTTGACACTTGTGTGTGGCTGTAAGGCAGTCGCTGAAAGTCTTTGGTTCTCAAGCTCCTAGCACGGCATATAGCCTGTTCTGAAGGGGATAGGAAGTTGTAGTAGTGCAGAGAAGGCCAGTGCCTCCCAGACAGTGCACACTGGGCTGCCCAGCCCGCCAACAGCCTGCCAGTCTGGTGACCATGAAAAAAGTAGGCTCCAGTGCAGGGCACAGGGTGTGTGCAAGTTGCTTCATCTCCCTATGCCTGTTTCCTCATCTTTAAAAAGATAGTGGGGTCGAGGGAGTTCCTTACATCTTAGAGATAGCGTGGGAAATACGGTGCACAGGTGCAATCTTAGAAGAGGGCGTGACCTATGCATGGTGCTCAGGTGCCTTAGCTGGTGTTCTAGGATGAAGCTGATGCGTGAGAAAGCTCGTTCTAAGCTGTCAGGTGTCCGTCGCACCAATATACAGATGAGGCAGGGGAGAGGGCAAGGCTGGCTGGCGCAGCCTCAGTGTGGGCTTCCTGGAGGTGGGACTTGGCGCAGGGACTCCTTGGAGAGAGGGAGGGATCAGAGCAGGCACTTCCAGCGGAGATGTAAGCTAAAGTCCCGGCAGGCTAAGCTGAGACAGCTCTGGTAAGCACAGCCCGGAGACAGGGCAAGAACCGAACACTAGATCCAAAGTTCAAGATCATCCTTGGTTCTATCACAAGTTCAGGGCCTGTCAAAAGAAAGGTGACCCCGCGAGAATCTCAGAGTGATACGGCCACAAGCCAAGGAATACCAGGGAATCACCAGCGCTAGAAAGAGGTGTACAGTACACCTCCCTGGGAGCCTCCAGCAGGAACCAGCCTCGTCAGCACCTCTATTTCGTGCTGACTCCAGGAGCCCTGTGCCCGACAAGGTCCTTCCACCTGCCCCCACTGCTCACCGGAAGCAGGGGTTTCCAGGTTCCTGGCGTGTGCCGTGGTGTCTATGACGGGCTAGGTGCAGGTCCTGTGTGGAAATGCTCCCCAGGGAGACAGCACATAGCAATTCACTACCTCTGCGTGCTGGGATTAAAGGCATGTGCCACTGTGCCTGATTTTTTTTTTTTTAAACTTAAAACATTTTTATGTGTATTGAGTATTTTGCCTGCGTTCTTGTCTGTGCACCACATAGATGCCTGGTGTCTACAGAAGCCAGAAGAGGGTGTGGGGTCCCTTGGAACTGTAGTTACCGTGGTTGTGAGATGCCACGTAGATGCTGGGTCATCTTTAAGAGCACCAAGTGCTCTTAACCGTGGAGGCACCCCTCCAGTGAGGGCTTTTGTGTTTATGAGAAGGGTCTCGTGTAGCCCAGATGCTTCAAACTCTCTATGGATCCAAAGATGACCTTGAACTTCTGATCGTTCTGCCTCCACTTTCCCGGTGCCAGGATGACTGGCCTGTACCCCACGCCAAGTTCACATGGTGCTTACAATTAATTGTATCGAAGACGTTGTGTATGCAAGGCGACTCCTCTACCGCCTGAATTGCATCCCCAACACAAGCTTGGGTGTTTGTGTCTGCTCAGGAGCCCACAGCCAGGCCAGGGCTACCTTTTAGCCAGCATAAAAGTCCAGGACAGAGCCCCGGGGAGACATAGTAGAAGGGCAGGGTGGTGTAGTAGTTGGGAGCCAAGAGCCACTGGGCCAGGCATGCCTACTAGAACTGCAATCTGGCCAGGCTTTGTGACTTCTTTGTGCCTCAGTTTCCCTCACTTGTAACCTGGGGACAATAAAAGTCCCTGTCTAGTAGGACTGAGGATTAAAGGCTCATGCCTCCAAAGTGATGGGGAAAGAATTGGGCACAAGTCACGGGAACACCAGAAACACAGTTGTTGGTTTTCTGGTGCTGCTCCAACAAAGTACCACAGACAGGGCCGTGGACAGCCACAGCAGTCCTCCCCTCCCAGGTTTGAAGCCTGGAGCACGAAATAGAGATGCTGACGAGGCTGGTTCCTGCTGGATGCTCCCAAGGAGGTGTACCGTACACCTCTTTCTAGCGCTGGTGATTCCCTGGTATTCCTTGGCTTGTGGCCGTATCACTCTGAGATTCTCACGGGGCCACCTTTCTTCTGACAGGCCCTGAACTTGTGATAGAACCAAGGATGATCTTGAACTTTGGATCTTCCTCGTTTCATCTCTCGATTTACTGGGATCACAGGCATTACACACCTGGTTTATGTGGTCCTGGGGATTGGACCAGGATCTCAGAAACACTAGGCAAATTGCTAAGCTATATCCAAGCCCTGGTCTTCATATAAGAATAATTGCCATATTAGATAGAGACCACCCTAATAACCATTGACTTAGCTGAATCTGCAAAAGTCCTGTTTCCAAACTGAGCATGGTGGTGCAAATGGGTGATGTCAGCATTCAAGAATTCAAGGGCCTCCACATGGGTGGCTCACCACAGCCTGTAACTCCAGTTCCGTGGGATCTGACCCCTTCTCTGACTTCTGCGGGCACCCACAAACTAGAATACACACACAGACACATAAGACACATAATAAATAAATAATAAACTCTTGTCAGGCATTAGGTCGCACACATCTTTAGTCCCAGCACTTGGGAGGCAAAAGCAGGTTGATCTCTGTGAGTTTGAGGTCAGCCAAGTCTACATAACAATTTTGAGGCAAGCCATGGTTATACAGTGGGATCTATCTCAATAAATAAATTAAAAGGAGCTGGAAAGATGACTCGGCAATTAAAAAACATTTGTTATCTTCCAAAGGACCCGGGTTTGAGTCCCACCACCCACACGGCAGCTCACAACTGTCTCTAATTCCAGTTCCAGGGATCTGACATCCTCTTCTGGCCTCCACAGGCACTGCACATATGTGATGTACAGACGTAAACACAGGCAACACATTCATACACAGAAATAATTTTAAATAAAAATCTTTAAAATTAAATAAGCAAATAAAAATTAAAAAAACAGAGGTAAACAAGCCCCCATTTTCACACGAGGTCACATGCATGTCAGCTGTTAGTTTATTTGGGGGAGAAAGTTGACCCTACAACTGTCATCCCGACATCCCACGTGACATGATAAGATCCCCTAATGAATCTTTCTCTTGCAGGTGCTGGAGCGCTGGTGCATGTGCCCACGCACCATCGAGGTCCTGATGAACACCTACTGTGTGGTGCAGCTTCCCGAGGAGGCCAAGGGCTTGGTACCACCTGAAATTGTGCAGGTCAGTGTCCAGGACACATCACTCAGCTTGGCCCTGAGAGACACCATTCCCTAAGGGGCAGCCTTGTCAATCTTCCCTAGAAATTACCCAGCAGCCCACTCACGTCCTAGAAAAAATATACGCTCTGGAGTGAGTTCTGAGAGTGTTCCTGAGGTTCTTGAGAGGCTCCCAGTGGTCACCATCCTGGTCCTGCTAGAAGAAGCGGGAGCCGGTGGTCCAAGGCTGTCCTCACCGAGTCCCTCCTCCCGTCTGCAGAAGCACCAACGATTCTACTCGTCCCTCTTTGCCTTGGTGAGGCAGCCCAGGTCGCTGCAGCATCTCAGCCGCTGTGCACTGCGCTGTCACCTGGAGGGCGTTCTGCCCCACGCGCTGCCACGGCTTCCCCTGCCCTCCAGCCTGCTCCGCTACCTGCAGCTGGACTTTGAGGACGTGCTTTACTAGGTGAGTCCTGGCTTCCGGGGACAGCCACCATGCTTGGGGACGGGGCATGGGCAGGAGGCAAGAGAGCCGGATGATGGTTCCGGTCCGGAGCAGCTGCTTCCGGGGCCACTGGAGTTCTTTGCTGCCCTTCCTCTGCTTCCAGGTGTGCCCTGCCCTGAGAACAAAGCAGGCTCCCCAAGGGGCACCTCTCTGCAGGGACTCAAGTCAGGTCATCCCGCCAGCACAAGGTCCATCTTCAAGACAGGAATGAATGACTTGATCCACACTGGAGAGAAGAAAACAGATGACCATCCGGCCGATAGTGATGCAGAGAGAGCGCCTGGGCAAACCTGTGTGTGCACTGGAAACCTCCAGGCTGAAGCCCGGCGTAATGGCACAGATGTTCTCTTAGTCCTTGGGAAGTAGAGGCAGGAAGGTGGGAGTGGTCACATTGTGCTACTTGGTGAGACTTTGTCTTTAAAAAACAAAAAACAAAACCCCTGCTATTGGTGAAATTATTAAGGCCACTCCACGTAGTTAAAAGGGAGGTTTATTTTGTGGGGTAACTTACAAGTGAAGGGATAGGTAACAGGGTCTGGGAAAGGTGTAGCGCAGTCCGGCAGTGTTCTCTGGAGAACTCTGCTTGGTCTACCTCCAGTGTCCAGGGTCCAGGAACCAAGAGAGCTGGGGCATCCAGATCTCGGGTCTTCAGGGTCCTCTCTCAGCCCCGCCTCGTAGGTGTGACCGTTACCGAAGCCTCAGTGGGGGTTGGAACTTCCAGACCAAAGCTGGGATGGCTACCCACTATATCCTGCAAGGCGTGTGATTTGGTCCCGTCTCCGACAAGCCTCCACCTTCCTTGAGGTGGTTCCTCCACACAGAACCCGTGTGGGTTGCCCCTTGCACAAGCTGCCCCACCTCCCCCTTCAGCATCCGCCAGCAGGTCCCGGGCCAACCTGCCCCTCTCCCCACAGGAGATGGTAAATAGCCTCCAGAGTGAGAGTTTGCCAGAACAGGTAGCCTGAAGGCTGGGCAAGGCCGAGGCAGGAGCAAAGGGAAGCTGGTGGCCAGGGGCTGGAAGAGAAGGGGGGGGGGGCTGGGAAAAGGGCTCAGTATTTGTGGGAGAGAAAGGAAGCAGGGCCCAGGGTTAGGAAAACAACCGTTTTTACCCACTGCCTAACCCTGTAGGTCAGGGAGCGTCACTCGGTGCACATCTGTCCCTGTTCCCTTGACTCTGCTTCTTCATTTTTTACTCTACCGAAGGATGTTTCACTTAGGGACATGGCCGTGCATAGTGTACATGCCTGGTGTCCTTGGAGACCAGAAGAGGAAGTCAGATTCTCTAGAACTGGAGTTCCAGAGGATTGCGAGCTGCCATGTGGGTGCTGGGAACTGAACCTGGGTCCTTGGGAAGAGCAGCCAGTGCTCTTAACTGCTGAGCCTTCTTTTCAGCACCTTTAACCCAGTTTATTTTGGGGTGGTGGTGGTGGCAGAGTTTCTCTATTAGCCCTGGCTGGCCTGGAACTCACTCTATAGCCCAGGCTGGCCTGGAACTCACAGAGATCCGCCTGCCTCTGCCTCCCGAGTGCTGGGATTAAAGAAAGGCATGCACTACCAGCCTGGCATTAATTGGGTTCTTTAAACATAGTTTTGTAGTAAGAATGTGGAACTGTCACCAGAGCTGGGTTCTACTCTTAACTCTGCCGTTAGCTTGTTGTGGAGCAAAATTCTCCTCCCCTAAACTCAAGCTTCTATTTCTGTGGACCGATAGACCGGGGGTGCCCCTGCTTCTGTGGACCGATAGGCCGGGGGGTGCCGCTGCTTCTGTAGACCGGGGGGTGCCGCTGCTTCTGTGGACCGATAAGCCGGGGGTGGTGGTGGTGGTGGTGGTGGTGCCGCTGCTTCTGTGGACCGATAGGCCGGGGGTGCCGCTGCTCACACTGCAGTACCAGGACCCTACAAGCTGGAGCCACGGCAGCCAGCAGTGGGCGGGGCAATCCAGCCGCAGAGCACGCAGCAAGTGTGCTGTGGTCCTTGATGTCAAGGGTCACTGGACAGAATTCCCAGGCTTGAGAGCGCTTTTCCAGCCGGCTACAGGAAGCCAGACTATGTGGGACGGGGCCTGGAGGCGAGAAGGCCATAGAGGCAAGTGGACTGGCGGTGGGTGGCCTGGCCCCTGAGCCTGGACTTACCTTGGACTCACCTGCTAGCCTAGGCTTCAGGTGCGAGCATGTGGCTTGAGAGCTGGCGAATGGCCCCTGGTACGACCAAGAGGGTCAAGGTTTGTTTGCACCCTCAGCCATGGAAACGCCTGGCTGTCTGGTCTTCCGCAGACCTGCACTTTGCAAAGATAAAGGTTGGGGCCAGGAGAAGATTTCCAGGTTGTTGATGGGAACCCACTGAAGAAGGTCCTTCGTCATCCTGCGGGAATCTCTCTGGGAGACCCCGTCTCATCCCTGAGATGTCCGGAGTTCACTGATTTGCCCATAACTGCTGTGCCTCCTGTGTTCTAGGCTGGGCAGGCACAAGGCTGCAGCGGTCACCGGGGCTGGTCTTCGGTCCTCACTACTCTGTTGAAAATGCCGGGCCAACAAGAGAGTTACTGCACATAGCACTAAGTCTCGAGACAGATGCAGACAGCGATGTGACGCCAATGGGGCGCTATTTTGGATTCAGTGACAGGGAAACGTACTCTTTGAGGAGGCTGGCATTTAACCTGAGATCAGAATGACAGGGAGGAGCCAGCATGGAAGTGAATGTGAGGAATAGCAGAGGAGCAACTGGGCCTATGTCCCTCAGGCTGCCCGGCCGGGAGTGGCTGCCTTAGTGGGGGAAGCAGAGAGAATCCAGGTCAGTCAGAGGCTTTAGCAACCATCCTGGGATGAAACGGGGAGAGCAATGGAGTAGCTTTGGAAGTCTTTGTGGGGATGGATAGTGCTTGCTGGTGGAATATATGTGGGACTCACCTAGCATGCCTCACGGTTTTTTTTTTTTTTTTTTTTTTTTTTTTTTTTGGCTTGAACAAGTAAGGCAAGAGAGATAGAAAGGTCTGTGTTAGCCAGATTAGCCTGTTAGACATCTCAAAGAAGAAGCGTTCAAAGGCCGGATGGACCAATGAATTTGAAGTACATGAACCCTATTTCAAGAGGACCTCGTTGCCTAGGGGACAACTGTCTATGCATCCTGTTTACGATTCTATTTAATCCCTTCCACACACTGCCAGGGTTAAGGTGGAAAATATAAGGCTCTGAGACATGGCCCTGCCCTAGGAGCATCATCGACACACTCACACCACCCTCACAGAACACATGTGAACTAGTTACAATACAAAGAACCAGGTGTGGAGGGTGGGAGTGATGAGAAGACTCCACAAAGGGGTTGGAGCCTCAGAGGCTCTTCTGCCATGTCTGGGGAATGCCAGGGATGGGACTCCTTTTCAAGGAGCCAAGAAGGGAAGACAAGAAAGGTGGTATGGCGTGGTTGGTTTGAAGAGGTTGTGCCTTGCTCCATGCCTTGCCCCGTAAAGAAGCAGCATTAGGAAGGCCCTTTCTGGGGTTAGACAACCAGACACTTGCAAACCAGGGAGCTTCCTCCCCAGCCTCCTGGCTGATGGTCCCGCGGGCCCAAAACCTCTCCCTGGTAATTGCTTTCCATAATGTGTTTGCTCCAAACCAATTTCACGCCTCCGTGAGGACTCCGCCCTGCACTGGAGGCGCGGACCTCCCTACCACCAACCTATCCGCCTGTGAACGGGTGGGCTCACACATATCACACATTCAACATAACAGATACACCGAATTCGAGAACCCTGACACAATGAAGATGCACATATCTACATGCACGCACACTAGACTTCAAGATACTCGTGTACAATCCCGCACCGATCCCCGCAGTCATTGCCGGAGTAAGAAGCGCTCTGAAGCTTGGACCTCTTGCCTAGTTCTAGTTCCTTTGCCCTTGGTGACTCTCTTGACTAACGCCAGGGGGCGCTGCGGCATTCCGCGCCTCCCTCGCTGGGATTGTAGTTGCGTTCTAGTGCCACCAGAGGGTACTCGCGGACAGAACCCGACTTGGCCCGCAGTGGGAGGGCACTCCCGCCAGAGTGAGTCAGAAATATGGACCTGTTGGCTTTGGCTTTAGAACATTTTGCTCATTTTTTGTGTCCTAGGTGCAGTTGCCAGCACATGAAGGAGAGGTCATAAGATGAGGCCTGACACAGACCAAGCAGAGAGGGTAGATCAAATTACTTATCCACTTGTAGAGGTGCATGCCTGCAGGGGGCATCTCTGTGAGTTTGAGTCCAGTCTGATCTACACAGCAAGAACTAGGCCAGCCAGGCCGCAGAAGCCATATTTTTGTTGTTGTAGTTGTTGCTGCTTGTTTGTTTTTGGAGATAGAGTTTCTCTGTGCAGCCCTGGCTGTCCTGGAACTCACTCTGTAGACCAGGCTGGCCTCGAACTCATAGAGATCCACCTGCCTCTGCCTCTGGGATTAAAGGTGTGTGCCAACCCTCCACCTCCCCACATACCCTGTTTTAAAAACCAAATAAGTAAATAATCATATTTGAGAGCGTATTTCCAACAAAGAAATGAAAAGAAGGAAAACCCCATATTCCTGTGCAGGGGCATTTCCCAAAGCTGTGTCCAGTGAGAGCGGGCTGACTCAGAGCACATGTACAGCTCCATTTTATTTTATTATTTGTGTTTAATCTTTTTAGATTTATTTTTATGTACATAAGTGTTTTGTCTACATATACATATGTGCATGCCTGGTTCCCAGGGAGGTTGGGAGAGGGAGTCAGATTCTCTTGTACTGAAGTTACAGAATGCTGAGAGCAGCCACATGGGTGCTGGGAGCAGAACCCAAGTCCTCTGGAAGAGCAGCCAGTGCTCTTTAAGGGCTCAATCATCCCTCTGGCTCCCTGGTTCCATTTTAGGAAAGACCAGGTACTAGGTGTTCAGGGATTCGTCATCAAGGTCCCAGTTTTCTGCTAGTAAAGAGCCAGCTTTGTTCAAATTTGACAGGTTTGATGCCAACGGCATCTGTCCTTGGTCCTGAAGTGCTGCTGACTGGGTGGAAGGTGAGCCCCCTCTACCTTGGACAGACAAGCTCTTCCCCTGTTCCCTGCAGGAAGAATTCGGTTTGGAGGACACTGCCTCATCTCCATGTGATCCTTACTTTGTAAGCAGCCAGAGTAGATGATATGTCCCCTCTCTCAAACACAGTAAAGTTAAGTCAGAGGTGCCAAGGCCCATGTGGCTCAGGGAAGGCTAGAACTTGCTTTCAAGTTTTTTGTTTGTTTGTTGTAATCTCCAGCAATGCTTCCCCCATTTACTGTGTGGTCTCAGTTCCACCCTGAATGCAAGAGCAAGGATAGAAAGTGGGCTGCAGCAGTCATCCCTAAACATGTGATACCAGCTACTGAACATCAAAGACCAGAGCAGTCAGTCTTCGTGACCCCAGCAGGGCAAGGGACTGATTGAAGATATAAATGGACTGCCAGAGCTCAGTGTCTGGCATACATGCCAGGTCAATACAAAGCCCCCGAGGTCTCACGTAGATCATCACTTCTAAGTGGGTTGCCCACTGGGATTCATTGGTACCAAAATATAAACCTCCACCTCCTTGCCAGCTTGAGTGGGGAGTATACTGCCCTGAGCATAAGTGCTAGACAATAGGCTCTTGGCTTGAGGTAGGTGACATACATTTTTGAGACCACAAGGTCTTTTACCCTCGAGTCCCTGAGAGTGCATGATCCGTTCTGTGCCACAGAGAAGGGCAGGCTTGTCTGAGTGTGCATTTCCTATCAGAGCTTCGGGGCAGAGATATTTCAACATATGTCCTCCTGAGCTTTTGAAATTTTGTTCTATGTGATGTTATTACCTATGCAAAAAAAAAATGAATGCAATTACTTTTAAAAATGGCTCTTCTCCGTGTGTCATTTGATTGGTGCGGGAGCTGCTCATACAGCTTTAATTGCAGTAATTGTAAGCTCAAAGTTCCCTCCGTAATTCATCAAGTCAATAAGCCTCTATTATGTATCCAACACTGCAAAGCCATCAAACCAAGTGCTTGACCTCTCCCTTCTTCAGTACAATATGCTTCGGAAATCTGGTCTTCATTATCAGCATCGGGGAGGGCTTGGTTAACTCAACGAAGAGTTGTTTGGAAGGCTGTCTTTCGTCAACGGTGTATTCTAGCTCTTTATTGTGAGTTGGGGTTCCCAGACCTAAGCCCAAGCACCTCTTCTCTCTCTAAGGTAGCATCTTCTCCCCAGTTCTGTCTCTTGTCTTCATTGGGTGAATGTAGACCCCAAAGTATATCTGGACCGCACAGAAATGGCACCATCTTCCGCTCACTTCTCTGGTGAGTTTTGGAGGCATGCCTTCTCTCCTCCGCTCCTCCAGCTCATAGAGCCTCACTCTGTAGCCCTGGCTGCCCTGGCCTCGGGTTCAGACTGGCCTAGAACTCACTATGTAGTTGAAGATGACCTTGAATTTCTGATCCTCCTGCCTCTGCTTCTCAGGCTGAGAATATTGCAAGCAGCCTAATACCTGCCTCGTTTAATCCTGCCCCCTTCCTCAGGGCTACCCAAGGCACTTAGAGTACCTCAGCCTAACACCAGCTCTGCTCACTAGCTAATACAACACTCCCGCCTGAGACAAATGTCACTGAGACCCAGCAGTGCCGGCTGCCCTCCTCTGCCCTCCTCTGCCCCCCTCTGTCCTCCTCTGCCCCCCTCTGTCCTCTGTCAAGCTCTCTAGCTCTGTGTGGTAGGCTTTCCTCTTTACCTGAGTAGGATCCCTTGCACTCCTAAGGTGCATCTTGTTGAACTTGTCTGTCTTTGCTATTGTCCCTGTGAACTATTAGGCTCTTCCTGGCCCCACCTGAATAGTTTCCTCGTCCAAAGGCGGCAGCACTTTTGTGGGCCAGCTTGCTCTGCATCCTCAGGTTTGGGCCACCCTTCTTGCTTGTCTTGACCTCACTCACTGACCTGAGGTGCTTATGCAGCCAAAAGCCAATGACTTCTGCCTCTAGATCGGCTGCTGGGAACCAGAGGAGGGGGACAGTCAAGGCAGGATGGGGGAGGTGAGCAGAGTCATCTGCAATTAGCAGATAATTAGCGCTGCTGACCCTTGGGGCTCATCAGCGCTCCTGGGGCCAGCCCCCAGCAATCAGCCAGGGCAGGTCGAGAGTGTCAGGCCCGAGAATGAATAGGGCTCATCAGACGCGCTGGAGCCAGGGAGCCAATCAGGGAAATTAATGGAGAGAGAGAGGGAGGGAGGGAGGGAGAGAGAGAGAGAGAGAGAGAGAGAGAGAGAGAGAGAGAGAACACGAAACACGAGAGACAGACAGACAGATAGACAGACAGACAGAAAAGATATGGATAAAGGCAGGGAGTGAGAAAATAGAGTAAGACAGACTGGGATAGGGAAACAAAAAGAGAGGAATCGGAATTAAAAAGGAGGCCGGCCGAAAGGGAGGGAAGAAGGGTGAGAGAAAGAAAAGGAATGGAATGGAAAGGGTGGGAGAGAGGTGCAGGGGAAAGGTGAAGGAAGGGTAAGTGCTTGGTCCAGTGTGGGCACTCGAATTCCCACAGAAGCGAGAAGTTGGAGATGGAGGAGAAAGGAGGGAGAAGGGGCAAGAGTCAATGCTTAGAAAACCGAGTCCAGGGCAGAGAGTGCAAAGGGGCTGGGGTGACAGCAGGGAAGCGGTCGCCCACGAGTGGCCCCAGGCGCGCACGGGGCCCTGGGTGGAGAGCGCGCCCCCTGCTGTCTCCCGTCGCGTCCGGGCTCCCAGGGACCGCCGCGCCCTGCGCCGGCTCGGGGTGG